CAATTCATCGAGACAAAATTTGAAGAATTTGGCGAACAAATGAAAAAACGGATCACGATGAAATTTGGTTTACAGCGAGTCGAAGCTTAATGCAAAAGTGTGAACAACTTGTTCTCGATACTTCGAGTCGAACTCAAAGTTGGCCAACTCGAAGTTTTTCAATTCATCGAGACAAAATTTGAAGTATTTGGCGAATAACTGGAAAAATGATGAAATTTGGTTTACAGCGAATCGAAGCTTAATGCAAAAGTGTAAACAACTTGTTTTCGATACTTCGAGTCGAGGTTTTTCAATTCATCGAGAGAAAATTTGAAGAATTTGGCGAACAAATGAAAAAACGGATCACGATGAAATATGGTTCACAGCGAGTAGCTTATAATGCAAAAATTGCGGTAATAAACGGAATGTAATTCGACGGTTCCGTTTCGAGTTCATTCGTTAATGGTGCGACGGGAGTGAGGAGTGGTTAGCAGGAAGTAATCGTATCGCCGCGCCCTGTCCTCGATCGCTCCTCGTCACGCGATCGAGCTACATCTTTCGCATAAAATGTAATTTCAGCTGCTCCCTGCAAACGTTCACTCGCTTTTGCATTCCAAGCTTTGATCCTTACTTACTGCTAAGAAGTAGAAAAAAGTAAATACGTTCCGTTGATCGTGAGATTCCTTCACGAACAGAAAAGAGTTGCCTCGTAACTTCGTTCCAATGTTTCGCATTTCAAAAGCACAATTTGGCCTTTTATCGAAGAAACGAATCGTATTCATTTCTTTTTCTTCTCCTTTAGAATCAATTCTAAATTTTCTATATTTTCGGATAAAGTAAACGAGGGAACGAAACACGAGAATTTTCATATTCGAAAGGATATATTGGCGGGATATATAGACAGGAAAGATCCGATTAACACAACTCGATCCATCGGCAAAACTCCGCTCCTTTCAAACATTTCTCCTCGAAAATAGTGGCGGCACCTTGCGCGTTCGTTTTCCACGAAGCGGAACGCTACGCTCGTTCGCGGTAACACGAACGCGCTACTCTCCTAATCGGGCAACACAATCGGGCAAACAAGTCTCGCGTAGTAATTTCAACCGACTTCAAGCCACACTGGCCCCATTGTTCTCGCGACAGATTCTCCGACATCGTTTCCATCCCTCCCCTCGCTCCAATTAACGTTCGCGTGGGCGTTAATCCGCGCAACCAGCGCGTCAAAGTCGTCGCGATCCTTTTCCACCTGAGCTCTCGCTGAGAATTCCTCGAGATCGAGATCGGGAGGGAAACGCAGTTCTTCATAATTTTTCAATTATGCTCCGGGAACGGAGGGGATTCGAAAGTTAGTCGAACGGTATTAAATCGAAGACGGAAAGTTTACTTCGTTACTTCGTTATTCTCTCTCTCTCTCTCTCTCGAAATTAAACTTGGCAGTTTTCCGTTAATGGAAATGCATATACGTACCGAAATACGATATAAACATATAAATGGAAAATGATTTTACGAGGACGTGCTTATATGCTTTTAACGAATTATTATTATCCGATATCGTCGCGTAGCAAAAGGACAATTATTTTTTTTAAAACAACACGGACGAGGATACATCGTTGGATTCGAAACAAATCGAAGGGAAATAAAAGAGACCGGGGAAGAATTTTAAACGCGTGACGGCATAATTTACAGGAATGGAACGTGGACAATTGTTTAATTATCCTTGTCGCACACTTTCCTCGAAAGAGTATCGTGTTTCTTTCCGGCGAGCCGCGGAACGCATTACAATGAATCGTCCCTCGAGGAGAGGGGATCGGTCGGCTTTTCGAATCGATGCTGCGATATCTCGCGAGCCAAAATTATCCTCGAAGATAACGAATTTAGCCGCGCCGCGAAGGTAAAAGGGGAGGGAGGGAGGGAGGGAGGGAGGGCAGCCTTCCCTTCGAAACTCGTTCGGAAACGAAGAAACGCGCGGATACCGAGAATAGCGCGACCAGAAAGATAAACAAATCGTCGAAAATTCCGCTCCCGAGAAGAGGAGCGCTTCCACTCGGCCGGAGTCGTTAGAAACCGGTTTCAAATTTTCCCTCGACCGGTATCAATTTTCCTTCAACGTAGAATAACTTTCCCGAATGCATTCTCCTGAAGTAAGTGCGAGAGGCGCCCTCTTCCGTAAGGTGTACATTTTTCGCATAAAATATCGATTATTTATCGTGGTGTGCGTCGCGTGATGCCGCCATTTTTCTCGGGGACCGACGATCGTTACAATCTTCCCCCGTATTACACGCGGCATGGAAAGAGCTCGGGGGATACGAAGGTATTAAGGGATTACAGCATCGTCTGGCGGAGGCTTAGCCCGAGAACCGACGCGACACCTCGATTTTGTCGTCCGAGCCTCAACTAAATACCGACTCGAACCACTCCTCGAAAACACGGCTCGCTTTCCGATGGACGCTACGAACGAGGATACGAGTCGTGGGGGTTCGCGAGGAAGGAGAGATTTTCGTCTTCCCGAAACTGAGAAACTGTGTTCCACTCTTTCCAAAAAATGGGATACCACACCGTCTATATATACATATATTCAGCGTCGCGAATATATGTTCCAGCGATGTTGTTTTCGTTGCAACGAGTTGTTTTCTCATGTAAATTTCGACTCGTTCCTGCATACATAGGCGTGGTGTCGAACGTCGGTTCGCCGCGGATTTTTACAGAATGGACGGGTTCGTCGTTTCGAAGCTTTTCCAAACTATCCCCGGATAGCTTCTCTTCTCTTCTCTCTGTCTCTCTCTCTCTCTCTCTCTCTGTTAAACTCGTCTTTTTCGCAAAGATAAACGGCACGAATATATAAACGAGCGTTGTCGGTGCGCGTTCGGGGAATCGAAGGAAAAATGAGATATACGGCCGATCCGAGCGACAGGCGTACCCCATTTTTATATCCGGCGATTCGAACATTTTTAGGAAAAACCTGTTTTTCCACCCATTTCCCACCATCTATTCCGCGCACGGCGAATTTTTCCCGAGCGTACCCGAATCGAATCGACAAATTCTCTTCGATTTTTCCACGTTCGCATTTCCGTGGAAAATTGATTTCCCCCATCCCTCCCTCGCTCCCTCCGGTAATTGCTCGTACACGCGACTCGTTTGCAACGAGTTGCGGTTTAAAGGGAAGGCCGAGAAACAGCGGAATTATTGCTTGGCATGGCGTTCGAACATTTCATTAAACTGGCGCGCTGACAAACGTGCGGGATAGCGGGGAACAGGCAGGAAGCCGACGTCAGCGGAAGTACTTTTAAAGGTAACTCGTCGTGGGCCAACAATTTCGCTCCCTCTCTTTATCTCTCTCTTTCTCTTTCACCGAGAACGTGATTAGTATGTGACGGAAAACGCGTGAGAATGTCTCTGTGTGTGTGTGCGCGCTAATGACGGACGGGTTAATTCAATCGCTCCTCCATTCCGTTTCCCTTTATATTTTCGAACGAAGCTCGATCGAAGAGATCCGAGATCGATCCAATCGTAGAGACGATTTCAGAGAGGCGATTCCTTACGCGTGTACGCGTGTTTCGCATTCGTTCTTGGCTCAAAGGGAGTGCGATCCAGTCGTTTCCCGATCCATTTCATCCGAATCCATAGATATCGATATCGATCGTTCCGTTGTTACGTAATAAAAAAAAAAAAAAAAAAAAAAGAACGAAGAGAGAACGCGTACAAAGAGACGAGCATAACCTTGGACGAGCAGTGAACGATGATATTTCCCGCGATGTATTTCAATCGCGTGATTCATTTTTCGCGTGGATTCGAGCGCGAAAAAATATTTCCGTCTCATTATCGATCCACCTTCCGCTCGGCGAATCGAGAGAGAGAAAAAAAGAGAAAAGTACACGCTGCGTTATTTACGATATCGTTAACAACTAACAGCGAGGATCGATAATGCGGATTTTGAAGAGGAATTATCATTTATTTGAAGAAAAGGGGACGCGATATCGATTTAAATAAGAGAAATCGAGGATCGTAGATAATTGAATTTCAAAATGTGTTGTATGGAAAATTTGAAAAAGAGGAAACGACGAGGGTTTATTATATACGTAATCGCAAAGTTCGTTCTCCGAGTATACTTGACCGTCTCGGATCGTC